CCAAACCCACAATCCCCAACTCTATTTATGAATACTCCATTCGCACTATTTTGGTTAGTCAGTAATCATCATGTTAGCCACTCTCCGTGTAACCTAACATTGATGCATTCCCCAGCTCCTTGAAACCTTATTATGGTACTTGTTACTTTCATCTCTAAAGACACGTGTGAAAAAACATAACTTTTTTCAGCATAACTATGCAAAGAAAGATGCTGCAACGGTGTTAGGGTATTAGTATTGAATGTTCCAAGTAGAATCTTTATTACAGTTTTCACATTGCTTTTTGGATTTATTTCCTTCATTTCCCCTTTAGTCGTCATCTGTGCGGAATCTTGGTATTAGTGGTACCTCAGCTACCTAAATAAAGGGAAGGATTTGGTCATTTAGCTACCTAAGTAAGTGGAAGATTTAGACCTTTAAAGATATTCTTATTTTGTGGAAATGGAACATGGTATGCAATCAAACGTCAAGCAATGCCAAGAAGGCGGCGCTTTTTACTTGAAAATTTGGTATGACTTCCATTCTTTAAATGAAAACACCTGATAGTAAAATGGATGGAATATACCCTTCATTTCCAAAGTCGTTATTTTGGTATTACGAATAGTTGTTCCCTTAATCCCCAACCAAACACATATAATTTGGAGGCTTCTGTGCCTCACTTCATTGCGATGGGCTGACCCCTGGATAAGTTGTGTGGGCAAAGTCTCAGACATGTGCAATGTGCTACTTCACTGACATCTTAAATTTTGGTTGTGAAAGCATTGCTGACCGTGTCCTTTCATCTCCCTTAGCATTGTTTTCTCACCATAATGACTCAGCATAAGTTACGTGAAAATTTGGACATTCTGCCTCTTGCTTTTCTTCTATTCATTGTTCTGTTATTTTGCAAAGAAAAGTTTGAGAATTCTCTTTATATTCATCTTCCAAGAAATATCTGTTTCAATCCTGAAAATATTTCTTGCTGATGCTGTTATTTTTTTGGGCCTTCTCTTTGCAGTTCTGACTGCATTTAACTTTGCTTTGATGTCAGGAGCCAAAATCTGATCTGAACAGTCAAGATAGTGGAATACCAGAAGGAACAGATAGTTTCAGGCAGGCTACAGAAGGGGTAGAATCCATCGAAAGGTATCTAGAGTCAAGTTAGGAATTATCTGCCCTTGCACTGGGGTTGTTTCAGTCTGTTAATTCATTTGACCAGGAATAAGGATGATACGGTACAGGAAGACTCAAAGCCCTCAGCCAATGGTGAATTTGAAATTGTATCAAAGCCTTTAGGATTGCAGGGCAATGTGGAAGAAGAAGCAGTTATTGCTCAAAGTACTGATTGTTCCTCTTCTGGGAGGTCCTCAGCTTTGAAGCAGGAGGATTCAGATGCACCTAGGGGTCAGTCAAATGCCCCTTTGGGCTTTTTGTTATGTGCTTCTTCATTCTTCAAGCGTGTTCAATGATTTTTTCCATTCAATTAATTAACAGTCTCTGGTTTCTAGTATTTAAAGAAAAAATACTTATTCATAGGCTGATATGTTGAAGTCATCTGCATTTTTGTTACAAGTATGTGCTCATGTTGCGTTGCCTGTATGTGTTTACTTCTTCATAATACTGAGAAGTCAGTGTCACTAGTCTAAAACAACGGAATTAGAGCTAAATGTAATGCACAAAGCTAAATCTCATGTAACTCTCCCAAATGTGCTAACAAGTAACAAGGAAAAAGGAAGGAAGAATGAATTAAACTACCCGTGCATTTAGGACCTTCAAGTTGGAAAGTGCTGTCATTTTTATCTTCCACACCTTCCCAGATAGCATATAGCACCCTCATCTTGGTCTGGTTTTCTAATCCTATTTCTGTGCCTCTGTCTGCTATTATGGTATCAGACGTGCACATCATGGAGTGAGAGAGACAGTTACTAGTACTTATGAGCAGGTTTACTTTCCTCGTACTAGAGTCTAGACAGATGTTATCTGGTATTCTCCTATGGGGTGGGTGTCTATTCTCAGAGTTCTGACCGCACGTTAATGCTCAAGATCTGTTTGATAGATGAGTACTTTCAACTACAAACAAGATTCTCTTTGGTACTTGTACCCATTGGGTGCTAAAGCTATTAATGCAACTGTTTCTTGGATTCCACCAGCAAAATTTTCCTTTTCTTTTTTCATCTTATTCTGTGTTTTAAACTCTATTCAATTACTGATTTACCTAAACTCTGCGTTATTTGACATGCAGTCCCTGAATGCTTTACACTTGTTGCAGAGGCCAAGTTTCTGGTGATATAACGTTATCTTTTTCCCTAGTTCTTTCATTTGTTCGAATCTCTAGTTTTCTTTGTGATAGATGTGTAATTAATCATAGACTGTTATTTGAACTTTATATTTGAGGTGCAGGTTACGGTTGAGAAGTTCTTTGAACTCTTCATTTCAGATGACGGTGTTGCTTTTCAGGAGTCATTCCGTAGAAAATGTGGTGATAAAGGTGACAGCATTCATGGATTTTGCTGATGTGGATATATTTCAACACATTCTGTCATTTAGATTTAGAAGCAATGGATCACAATGAACTGATAAGTAATTATGTGGTTAACCAAAACTTTGCCGTCCTTTTTTTTTTTTCTTCCAGATTTTAAGTGCACACAGTGGCGTCCTCATGAAGAACTTGGGCACTCTCGTAATTGGTCATTTCAGCATCCTATTAAATTCTATTTAGGTATGACTACACCCCTATATCAACAATTTAATTTCAAATATGATGTGAACGCTCTCAAGTGAATCAAGATTTATTTATTTTTGACTAATTTGCGGTTTGATTAGGTGCAAAATTTGGTGGCTGCCATGAGGTGCAGAACTATCGTTTTTACAGAAACAGGTAATAACTTCTACTATGGTGCTACTATAATTCACTGATTTTGCTTTTTTCTGATACTGGCACTTTAAGCTCTCTTTGATGCTGTAATTCTCTCTGCTGCACCATGCGTTAGCGCATCTGTTTCATGATAAAGTTCTTTGCATAACATCATTTTTTGGTTACATTTGAGTTTCTCCGAAAGCGAAAGCTTTTTGAGTCAATGTATTTTAGTGACTGGACAGCTTAGATTTGTGCAAAGTTGTCTAGCTTACATTCAGTGTGCTACATTCAGTGGAGCTGGAGTGACTGAATCTCCAAAAGATGAAACTGGTAGTACCTCAGAAATATCTAAGTGATGACCTGAACCTGTGAAGTATGATTGGGTTTCAAAGAAGGTAACATCAGCGGACATAAGGTACCGTTGGAGGTCAGGAGAGTAGCACCGATACCCCTTTTGTGTTCTCGAGAAACCCAGATATACGAACTTAAGAGCACGAGGAGCTAACTTAACTGTTCCTGGAGTAAGGTTATGGACAAAACAAGTGCTTCCAAAAATACGCGGTGGAAGAGAGAACAAAGGTAAGTGGGGAAACATGACAGAGAATGGAACTTGGTTCTGGATAGCTGAAGATGGCATACGATTAATAAGATAGCAAGATGTAAGAACGGCATCCCCCAAAAACGCAACGGAGCATGAGATTGTATGAGTAGGGTACGAGCAGTTTCAATAAGATGTCTATTCTTTCTTTCAGCTACCCCATTTTGTTGAGATGTGTACGGACAAGATGTTTGATGAATAATCCCATGAGATTTCATAAACTGCTGAAATGGGGAAGACAAATACTCTCGGGCATTATCACTACGAAATGTGCGAATAGAAACCCCAAATTGATTTTGAATTTCAGCGTGGAAGGTCTGGAAAATAGAAAACAGCTCAGATCGATTTTTTATCAAAAATATCCAAGTGCACCTGCAATAATCATCAATGAAACTGACAAAGTAGCGGAATCCCAAGGTGGAACTGACCCGACTAGGACCCCAAACATCTGAATGGACTAATGTAAAAGGTGACTCTGCTCGATTATCGAGACACCGAGGGAAATAGGAGCGGGTATGCTTACCGAGCTGACATGACTCACACTCTAGAGCTGACAAGTGAGATAAACCAGATATCATTTTTTGAAGTTTTGACAAACTGGGATGTCCCAACCGTTTATGTAATAAATCTGGTGAATCAGTAACAGGACAAGTTGTTGAAGGAAGACAAGATGTGAGTCCATGTGATTTAGCAAGGATAAGGTAATAAAGTCTGTTTGATTCACGCCTGGTACCAATGATCCGCCCTGTACTGCATTCCTGTATAAAAACATGGTCATCAAGAAATAAAACAACGCATTTAAGTGATTTGGCTAAGCGACTAACAGTTATGAGATTAAAAGGACTATTGGGAACATAAAGGACTGAATCTAAAGGTAAGGAAGGAAGTGTGCTTGCTTGACCTATTGCAGTTGCCATGGTTTGAGACCCATTGGCCATTGTGACTTTTAGAAAAGATTGAGAATACGAAATAGTAGTGAAAAGAGATTTGTGACCAGAAATATGATCTGATGCACCTGAATCAATGACCCAAGACTCAGAGGATGAAGATTGGGAGAAACAAGTCACGCTATTATCTGTTTGAACAACATAAGCTATCTCAGAAGATGTCTGTTTACATATTTTATACTGAAGGAACTCAATATACTCTGCTAAAGAAACCATCCGACTATTCAAAGTATCGGTTTTCATGTCGCTACAATTTGTAGTAGTAGGGTTAACTTGAAATAGTGGAAATAAGTAACTCTTGCGGGAAAACTGAAGAAATAGCTGGGAAAACACTGTTTACAGCAGGAAAACATAACACTGTTCACGCTGGAAACACTGTAGCTCTCCGGAAAATTCCAAAGTTGTCGGAATTTGTCGTAACCAGGATGGATAGACTCGTAATTCCTTTGCGAGCAAGCTGTCCTGAAGAAATGTTTTCAAAAAATGGCCAAAAAGGTGGCCGGAACCCTTGCCGGAAAAGTTGTTGCCGGCGCGTGGAGGAGCGTGGCGGCTTTTCTGCCGGATAAAATTTCAGGGGTTGCTAGTCGGAGGGTGATCTACCTCGTGGTGGTGTTGGTTTTAGCACAACACCGACAAAAAGTGGCTTTCACTTAGACAAGCCTTAGGTCATCGGAAAAATTGCACGATGACTAAGTTCTTTCTTCCCGGTTAACGCTGGAATGACGCACAACGATCTTTTCTCACTAATGCTCTGATACCATGTGAGAAAGCACGAGAGAAAATATATTATTGATATTGGATGATAAATACAATACAAGAGGTCCCTATTTATAGCTATACACTACAAAGAGATATTACTCCTCTTCCAATGTGGGACAAGACTACACTATACATATCTGTAAACTAACAAAGGCCAATGGCATGTTTCCAAAATCCAAACCTCCATCCTCCCGCAAATGCTCCCCTGCACGGCTGCAACTTCAGTCACTGGTATAAGCACTTGTTTTTGAAGCTTAATTGATCTATATACTTCCTGGAGAGATGTCCCAGGCCTGCTTATTTGTAGAAATTTTGATTTTAGGCTTTCTTCGGTTTTTCGCTTTCATTTAGAACTGCACATGTTTTAGTCTGTTGATTTGCTATTTTTTGTTTTGAGATGATAACAGTTTTATATATTCAAAAGGCACAAAGGTTGTGCTGGCCATAATTACAGGAGGTTGTACCAAAATATACATCTAAAATTTCTATCCTAGAACATCTATTATAGCTTCTGGATCCTCTGTATAATCCTGCTTACACCAAAATAAAACAACAAAAAAGAGTCCATTTTTATCGTCTGAATTGAGCTGCCCTTGTCTTCAAAACACCTTGAATTCCTTTCTTTCCAAATAGACCACCATATGCAAGCAGGAATTCAATCTCATCTATTCTTCTGAGCTAAGGGACTACTCCCTTTATTCCAGCATGACAACATTTCCTTTGTGTTGTTTGGCATGACCCAGTGTACCCCTGCTAGTGCTAGAAATATATTTCAAACTTGTACTGTCACTGAACAATGTAAGAAAAGGTGATTAATAGTTTCTGCCTCCCTTCCACATAGATGACTTCTAGAACAGAGTAGTAGACCCCTTTTCATCAGATTATTCTCTGTTAAACAGGCCTTTCTAGCTTGATTTGCTATTGATATTTATGTTGTTATTCTAACTTCTTTGATTGCAGTCACCTGGTGATTGAGACATCACAAGAAGTTAGTGATGTTCCTTTTGCAGACTATTTTCGAGTTCAGGTATGAGCTTTAATTTTCATAAGGGTCTGATTTCTCATTAGCACTAGTACTCCTTGAGGTTATTTTGGACGGGTTCTTGATCTGTCTTGATTATAAAACTGCACTTGCATCTATCTTTTTTTTGCCTTTTCTTTTTTATAAATGAAAAACTGCACTTGCCTTCTATCATTAAGGTGGTGCACAATTCATGCGAGATAACTGATTGGCACATATAATCGTACCAAGGAAATGCCTCATAAATGGAAAATTACAAGGTAGATATTGACTCTGAAAATTAAGAAAGGACCTTAGGAAATGCTGCTGCTGTCTTTCCTTCTCACATTGCTATCATGTTTGTTAACAACTATTGCTACCCTTTTGTAATCATCAGTCACTCCGTTGCACACAAGCCAAAGGGGTCATTTGTCTGGGATATATGGGGCTAGATTTGGTGGATTAACTTTGGGAAAATGTTTGATGGTCTTAAGTGCTTACTCTATTTAAATTAATAAATAAAAATATCTTATAATTAGCTATAATAAAAAATGGAAAAAATATTACCCATTCAAATTTGGGAGTAGTTTCAAGTTGGAGTTTTACAAATATTTTAAAAAAATAAAAATAGCTATAATAAAAAAATGAAAATATATATAATAAAAAAAAGGAAAACAACTACCCATTCAAGTTGGGGAGTANTTACATTATTTAAATTTTTAATAAACTACAAAATATGAAAACTAATCAAATAAGTATTATAGTAGAAAGGAATGTACGAAAAGAGGGCCATAGAGATAATTTTATGATATTTATATTTTAAATTAGTTAAAAATAAAAGATAAATAAATAACACTCAAGAAAATTATCAATAGTACTAAGTACTTGCTAATTAATATCAAAATAAAAAGGATCAAACAATTTATTTGATTATTATATGATGTGTATCCTTTAATCTTGTATAGATTGTGTTATATTTCTGCACACTATATTAAATAATAAAATATAACTAATATTTATTAAGTTAATATGATATATTAGATCATAATTTTATAAGATTAATATTCTGTCAAATTATCCGCGCATCGCGCGGGTTCTTATACTAGTGGAAAATTAAAAGGTAGATATTGACTCTGAAAATTAAGAAAGGACCTTAGGAAATGTTGTTGCTGTCTTTCCTTCTCACATTGCTATCATGTTTGTAAACAACCATTGCTACCCTTCTGTAATCATCAGTCACTCCGTTGCACACAAGCCAAAGGGGCCATTTGTCTGGGATATATGGGGCTAGATTTGGTGGATTAACTTTGGGAAAATGTTTGATGGTCTTAAGTGCTTACTCTAATACTTTTCTTGGGCCCCGCCAGATGAGGGGATTTTTGGCATTTTCCCATTTCTCTCCCCATCTCACCTTGGCCTCTTCTTCCCTTAAGTTTGTGTTTTGTGTTGAATGTTCCTTGGATTTTTCTTTGTTTCTTTTGAACTAATTCAACCTTATTTGTATAGATTAAGGATCATATTATAGTATTGCTTTAAGGTAGGAACCAGATAATTTTATTTGCCCAGTGTTATTAGAAAATTTAATGTAAGCACTCTGAATGTTGGTAAATTTATCTTAATTGTGAGAAAGCACGGGAGAAAATATATTATTGATATTAGATACTCAATATAATACAAGAGTTCCTATTTATAGCTATAGGCTACAAAGTACATATTGCTCCTATTCCAATGTGGGACTACACATAACTAACACTCCCTCTCAAGCCGGTGCATACACATCATATGTACCGAGCTTGTTACGCATGTAACTAATATGAGAACCAGTAAGAGACTTAGTAAAAATATCTGCTAGTTGATCATTCGACTTTACAAATTTTGTAACAATATCTCCTGAAAGTATTTTTTTCTCTAACAAAGTGACAGTCGATCTCAATGTGTTTAGTCCTCTCATGGAACACCGGATTTGACGCAATATGAAGAGCAGCTTGGTTATCACACACCAGTTCCATCTTGCTGATTTCTTCGAACTTTAACTCCTTGAGCAACTGCTTGACCCAAACTAACTCACACTTTGCCATAGCCATGACCCGATATTTGGCTTCGGCGCTAGATCGAGCAACTATATTTTGTTTCTTGCTCTTCCACGAGACCAAATTACCTCCTACTAGAACACAATATCCAGAAGTAGAACGCCTATCAAATGGTGATCCTGCCCAATCAGCATCTGTGTACCCAACAATTTGCTCGTGGCCTCGATCCTCGAATAGTAATCCTTTGCCTGGAGCTGACTTTATATACCGAAGAATGCGAACAACTGCATCCCAGTGACTATCACAGGGTGAATCCATAAACTGACTTACAACACTCACCAGAAATGAAATGTCAGGTCTAGTCATTATAAGGTAATTCAATTTGCCAACCAACCTCCTATATCTCATAGGGTCTCTTAGAGGACCTCCCTGTCCAGGCAGAAACTTAGCATTCGGATCCATAAGAGAGTCAATAGGTCTGCAACCCATCATTCCAGTCTCCTCAAGAATGTCTAAGGCATACTTCCGCTGTGAAATAACAATACCTGAGCTAGACTGAGCGACCTCAATACCTAGAAAATACTTCANTAATCTGTCCAGATCCTTAGTCTGGAAATGCTGAAAGAGATGCTGCTTCAGATTAGTTCTTTCTTCCCGGTTAACGCTCGAATGACGCACAACGATCTTTTCTCACTAATGCTCTGATACCATGTGAGAAAACACGGGAGAAAATATATTATTGATATTAGATACTCAATATAATACAAGAGATCCTATTTATAGCTATA